TGGTAAATTCTTCTTCTTCTTATTATTATTATTATTATTAATCTCACATATTCTCTCAAAAACTCGASAACTGGAGAACGGTCTTCCACATGATTGTAGAAAAGTCCAGAGAAATCTGGAAGTGCGTTATTCTCGCGATAACAGCCAGAGAGCGCGAGATAAATGTGAGACTACCTTACTGCAACAGCCTGCCAGCAGAAAGGGATCACAGACGCCGGTAACAGTCAGTGGCGGTGATTATGACAAGGAGTAGCTTAACTTAACCCAAAGCCTAAAGCAACACAACTTAGGTCTACTTTTATACTCTTTAAAAAGCAGTTATACATTTGCTTTACTTTTGTAGTCGCACTGTCTGTGGAAAGCCAAGATGTCAGTGGTAGGATTTGACTTGGGCTTTCAGAGCTGCTATGTAGCTGTTGCCCGAGCTGGTGGAATCGAGACAATCGCTAACGAGTACAGCGACAGATGTACACCGTGAGTATCTGAAAATATTGGTGTTATTAGCCTGGGTACTGGGATCATACCAGTACTTGATTGTCTTTTATGTTGCTGGCTCACGGTAATACACGTGAGTCAGTGCGGATTTTACACCAGCCTTTATTTATATTTAAATGGCCGTATGTTTTGTTTGCTTATCAAGCTGTCTGCCATGAAATATATTCGTGAAATGTCTCTGTTTGTTTTTTCGATCAGAAAGRCTATTTTTATGTACAAACCTTGTTTTACCTCTTACTGTCAAGCAAAATCGAGCTAGCGGGTTAGCTCAGGAGTGATGTGAGAGGTTTGTTTTATCAACCTAGTGAACACGAGGCGGGCGGTGTGTCCTTCAAAGTATATTTATATACTTAAGGAAGGCATAAACTCCACCAACCGGTGTGCCCCATGTTACAAACTGCGCAACTCCCGGAATGACGAAAGCTCTTGGTAGAAAATTCTAGCAAAATTCAGTCCCATGAAATAAAATATGTTTCGGTGATATAAAACATTTAGTATAGTTTAACAAGATAATGTTTGGGGTCGGCAAGTTTATTTCCATACGGTTTAAATTGAGTCCATTATGTCTGAATGTTAGTTTTAGCTGAAATGATTATCTCCTCGTGTGTAAAATATTTTTTTATTATTATTAGCAGTTTAAAGTGTTAGATGTTATTAACTAATCATAAAGAGGGCTTTTAGGTTGTAGATAAATAATCAAATTTAAATGTGTCGTACGTTGTAAAACGTTTTAGTCCTTTGAAGGAAGGATGTGCTTGCAGAACAGGTACTTTTTATGGAAAATAGTGTTTTTTGCAGCTATTAAAGAAACAGAAG